TGTAACTCTCAATTAATGATATGGGAGTTACATAAAAAAATACATAAATATTCTTTTCCAAAACTTAGTTCATATATGTTTGTGAAATTGTAAATTTAAAAAATTAAAATTTTAATATGATAAATCATAACCGTTTATCGTAAGAATCAATAGTCAATATTGGTTAACAAAGTTAACACAATAAATATATATATATATATATATATATATATGTGTGTGTGTGTGGGGTTATATCGTTACTACTTGATTTACTAAATGAAATTCTGAATGAAGTCGTTAAATTGGAATTTTTTTTTTGTGAAGATAAACACGTGAAAGTAAACAAGATAAGAGCTAGTATGTATGATCCAACAAGCCAACCTAGTTTAACCTAACTCATTTGATCTCTTTTGAGTGTGTTAATTTAACCTATTCGGTTATCATCTATTGTTCGTTTTGTTTTAATATTTTATCCAACAAATCTAACCCGTTTCGTCACGCTTATAATTTCAACCTTGATGAGTATTATTTTACAAATTTTGATTGTTTGAACCACTCCACTCAAAAGTCTTTTCTATATCCAACATACATTTATAATTTTCTTCATAATAACATGTCTACATAAGTTATTGTTTAAAGTTAATTGTTATTTAAAGGTTGTCTTTGACCATCTTCCTCTATAACATCATTCAATATTTATAAATTCCAAAACATATAATTTTAATATGGGATATTTATAAAATGCTTTTCAAATTAAAACATATAACTTTAAATATATTTATGTTATATTTGCGTTTTGATAATTAAATATATTTAATAATAATTAAAAAATAATAATGTGAAAATGTAAATAATCTATATCTATACTATCTTATAAAGCAAATTTTAACAAAAGTCTTAAAGTCTTAAAATATTAAATGACCAAGATACCATTTATATCACTTTTTCACCTTTTCATCCCCTCCTCTCTTCACATACAACTCACAACCTGATTTATTTTAAATTTACACTTTATATCCCTATAATTAGTTAATTAATTTAATTTACGTCCTTTACTTTTAAATGTTTCATTTTAAGCCTTTATCAAATTAATATACATAATCGTATATCAATTAAAACATGTTTAAAAATACATTTTTATTTTAACAAGTTACACCATTATAATCGTCTCGTTAATACCTTCGAAATGAGTTAAATATTGAAGAGTTTTTGACTTAATTATATTATTATATATTATATATACTGTGAAAAAATATTTTTAATGTTTACGATTTATACTTTGGGGTTAGGCTGTCCAAATTTCACTGTATAATATGTTCTGAATTAATATGTTCTGAATTAATATATATATATATATATATGTATTAATTCAACCTTAATCTGAGTTTCTGTACAAGAAAGAGGGTAAGCAATTGAAATTTTTATTCTAAAACCCATCTTTTTTGGTTTTTTCATGGCTTATGATCTGTCAAATTTGTAGTTTTCTTTATTAGTTTTGAGTGTTTATCTTAAAACTCAAGTTTCTTGGTTCTTTGCTCTTGGTGAAAATCGAACACATTTGTGAAGTCGTTTAAATATGTTGGATTTTAAACTGTCATACAATTKTTTTCATCGATAGTCTGTAATTGGAACCATAACTCTTATTTATTCAAATTGTATTAATATGTAAAGACCATGTGTAACATATATCATCGTTAAATCTTATCTTATAAAACCAGTGGAACTTCAAAATCGTTAAAATTCATGGCGTCCGCCGCATTGCGCCAGTACACAACTAGTATATATATAAAGGAGAATCATCAAAAGATGATGTGGCATCTTGAGAGAGCTAATTCATTGGTTACAAATGTTTCTAATTTTTGAATTATTTTAAATAAAGACATATCATTAAATGAATAAACCTTTCATTTACTTTATATATAAGTTACATATAATGATCTAATAAACCTTTAAACCTTTATATCTATAAATATATAATCTATAATCTATAAGTAAGAACCAAAAAACATGATATGACACAATGTGGATTGAGGATTACAAAATATTGAACCAAAAGATATTCTATTTTGTTATACAATTAATACAATACACTTATTTCATTTGTTTTGTTTATCTTATATATTTGTATATATGAAAGTAAGAACCAAGAAAAATGAAATGACACAATATGGATTGAGAATTCCAAAATATTGAATTATGGTTAACTTTGTCTATCCAT